ACTAAATTTTCTCAGAACATCTCTTGTTCGATTCTACGGATTCCAGTCTGGTAATAATTATGTCTTTTCGGGAATCTGAAGCAGTTTCTGCGTCGAATAAGATTATTTGTGAATTCCCGAGATTCCAGCGAGCGCGAATTGAAATGTAAAACGAAGTGATTATGATAATCGTGAAAGATAGAGAACGTATTACTTTCATCTCCAATTTATAGTCTTATCTACAATAAAATCGAGGAAAGATAGTTGCTACATATTTCCACAGATATATCTCATAGTTCCTTTCATTACTCCTGTCACGAAATTACATAAAGCAACCGCGATTCGGTCAAAAGTTATTTTGCATGCATTAGCATAATTCGATTTATCACTAGTCGCTATACGGACTGAACTCCTTTAAATCTGGTGACACGGCGCGAAATATTTACTGCCAACGTTGATGTATTTGCACTGCAAATATTTCGTAGTAACGTAACTTACGTCAGAGAAAAGTCAGCGTAGAAAATACGTACCTACAGAACATTTTAGAACGCCCACTGAATCCATCATACTACATATTTTCATAAAAATAACGAAATGAGACTTCCGCAAGGCGAGCGCAGCGCGGCTCACATTTTCAAATTGACAGTTTTATTACAGCAACTATAATATAGTGTACTGTAACCCAATAATGGATGATATAAGACTGTAATGACGAAGGTTTCTCAATTGCGAACATGAATCATTAACGATATTGCCGACGGCGTAATGCAAGCGGCTCTTAAACGATGAAAAGTTTTAAAATTTTCTTTCGTCAGATCGGATATATGTAATGTTATCCTTCGTTCCGGAAATTGTTCTATCTTTATGAACACACACACTCGCGTCATCATCGTGCATGAACTACTTTCTATGCCGAGTACAAGACAAAGAAACTGCTCCATTATTCTGTCTTTCCCGTTAAATTTGCCTGTGTCTTTTCTTTAAATTCTTATTTTAGAAATAATGCAAATTTTGCTGAAAGAAATTTAAAGTACATTTCAGTTATACTCTGAAAGATTTCATAATATTTCGCTGTCTTTTATCTTAAATGGACATCTTAATTTAAAAAGAAAGTCAAATTTGAATTAAAAAGCCTTTAAAAGACAACGGAGTCTTTTTATCTTAAACGAATGGACATCTTAATTTAAAAGAAAAGCCAGAATATTTATTACGATATGTTTTGATCATTGTTGGTGTTTTTATTTATAGCCTATGAAAATGCAGATATTTGTGAGTTGTTCGCATTTCGAAAATTATTTGCATCAACATGGCTAAAGTTTCTGTTTACTATATCTGTTCATAATGACGTCAGAGGAAAAAAAATGCAATAAAAATATATTAATATGGAAATATGTTTCAAAATAAAACAACATTTTGCAATCAATAAAACCGATTCATAAAATATACCAAAATCTCTTTTTTTTATTTCGTTAATGAATAACCATATATCTGGAAATGAATTATGTATAACTAAAGATGAAATAAGCTATGTCGACTGCTGCGACAAATTATCTATCAAATTAATATAATATATCAAAATAAACATGATTTAATTTCTGAATTATAAAGATAGTTTTCAGTTATATTTTATACATAAGTCTGTACATAGTACAGACTTATACTATTGAGTACAAATGTTGTTTTATTAAAAAAATGTTTCTATTCAAATATAATTTGCAAGAATTTTTGTTTATATATCTTCTCGCTTCTGATGTCACAATCTGATAGTAGTGGTGAATGAATAAGAGTCTTAAACAAGTTGCTAACTATTTATCGCAGAATTCTACGGCAAGAGATAGGGATTTTGAGATAGTGCGTGACCCGCATCCAAATATTTGTTCCTTACAACACACAGCTCGCTATTAAATTTAAATTAATTCCTAAAGATCCATCGCACGTATTTTCGTGATTATAAATCAGGTTTACATCGCGATCGTGCGGGTGAAAGTACACATGGATAACTTAGTATTCCGCATACGGTATCGTTTCCCTAGATTTTCTCAGGAAGATAGAATTCACAAAAAGCTATTCGGAAATAATCAATTCCACTCACTAGCATCTTCTTTTTTTTATTAGATCCGAGATTTTTGAATGAAGCCATTGTGAGGAGCACGATGTTCAGTGGAAATAATGCCAGTTAATTAACATCTCATAGATATAGATACACTATGAAACGTGTAATGAGCTAGACGATAAAAAAAAAATCAAATCATCTAAAATTAAAACTTGAGCATGCCATTTTTCTCGCTCGCAGAATAGAGGAAAGGCTGAAAAGAAGTGTTATCCTTATGCGCCTTGCTCCATGTATAATTATCGTCTAATTTCGTTAGCCTGCGTACGATGTCTCGTAAAAATGTCCGAGTAGCCGCATTTTCTGATGCGATTGCATTATGCACTTTCTTTTTCTTAGAGAAACGATTCTAACGACCGAAATACGCTCGTTAGAAGAAGAACGTAGCCCACTTTCTAAATCAAATGCGCCAAGTGCGTTGATCAGAAATTCTCGCTGTGCACAATAGTCGAAAGTAATAAAAACTTTTGCATTTTGTATTAGAAAAAGTAAAGCGAGAAAGAAAATTTTGTTATTCATTGCTATTTTAATGAACGTGAGAGAAACATATTATATATATATAAATAGACACTGTGGATGCTGTGAATAAGTTAAACTATCCCTACTTTTACATCGATCAAATCGCTACTAAAACATTATTGCATCAAGAACACTGTAAAGTCGCGGGTTTGAAACATTCATTATTACTGGAAATGAGAAAAATTTTTTTTCTTCGATCCAAGAACGTCGCCCGCATAATAATGCACAGTGCAACTTCTTCGGTACGAGGGTCTTCCAATAACATTACTTACACACGAAAACCTAATTTTCCGGATCACCGAGACATCCACCTCGTATCAAGGGTGTCTTCGATACGATGAAATGTGCAACGGAAACGCAGCGCGAAAGAGAGAAATTCCCTCGAAGTCAAATCCGATTTCCGACCCAATTTTCAGGCCGAAGGATGGTGCTTCTAGAGCTCTTAACATGCGTATAATGCAAGCCTCCGCTTTCTTCTTTCTTTCACCGAGAAAGAGCTCGGCGCGGCGAGAAATATTTCGAGGAATAGGAGGTCGGTTGCTTCGCGAAGGCAGTCGATCCGCGAGTTTAAGGTCAATCTCGAAAGCAGAAACGAACGATCGTGCGCGAAGCCTTTCCATCTTATTATACGATCAATCCCTTCTATGCAACACATATATCCTTTCCTTCGCGTTAGACTTTTTCACGAAATCTCCTCTGCGTTTCTATTCCCAGATTCAATAAGATTCCTAAAGTTGTAAGTCTTTCACGGAGAATCGCGAATTATATGTCAATAAGAAAAATTGAGATTTAAAAAAATTTTATTCCTTTGGACACGTTCGAGGATGTGCAGGATTTGTCAGAATCTATATTTTGATGATACATAAAAAATTAATACAAAAATACTTTGCTTCTAGCTCTCAATAATCTTTTTTTTATCTCATAAAATATTTTTTTTCTCTTCGTTACGATTAACTAATTTCTACAACTTCCGTTAATTAGAACTTTGGCAGAATATCACATTTAACATAACAATCACATATAACATAATAATATTTAGTAATTTTCTTATACAGGAAATCTTTTTACGCTCTTCTCTGAATTTTTTCAAATTTCTTTTCTTAGGAAAATAGTTACGAGTATCTTGTATATAATAACAATAACAGTATTAGAGCACTATATACATTTCATATTTATAATAATCGTACTTTGCCTATACTTTCTTCAGAAAAAAATAAACGATGATTTTTTACAAAACCCAATATTTTTCCCATTCAAAATCAAGAACGAAAAGAAGATTCTAAGCTTTAAAATATCCAAAACAATATAATTCATTAATATAAAAAAACGCTATTTATGTGATAACAGAATACTCCCTTCCCTAAAAATTTTTGAATAAATGCGTTCATATAGTACGCGTATCATTGATGAACGGAAATATTCTTACAACTGAATGTTTGATGAAATTCGATTACTTTACGCGCGATAAGTAGCATGATAAATATTAAGACAACAAACGAGCAATTAATCGTCGCGAAATCAGATGATATCTAATTAAAAGTTCAGAATCTCTTTAGATTGATATATGTATTCCGTGCGCGAATAGCTGCAAGGTAAGTTCTACCTTCTAATGGACGAGATACTCTATGAATTATAATGAAATTCGTTTCAAACGTTTTACGAGAACGAAAATTTGTCACTGGTCGACTTAAAGCGTGTACGCGCCATTATTCATTTGATCACGTTGATATTCTTCAGCGTGTTGCACCATTTTTTTTAACATTTCTGCGATAATATTTCGCTATTCAAAATAAAATTGAACTCAAAATTAACTTCGGAATTTTATACAGAAAAAGATTTGTGATTTTTTATGCGAAATCCGCAAAGATTCGTCACTCGACTTTGACTCAAAAAGAGAAAAATGTAAAGATATGAACAACGTAAAAATGTAACAACAAGATTTGTGACTCGATTTTAGTTCAAAAATAAGAGAACGTAGAAATGTAGGATAATGTAATACAACAAGATTCTAATTTTTTTTTAGAAAAAATTTAAAAATATCACAATCAGCTGACGATTTAAAATCGCACGATTTATAAATCGCTTTTATTATTCTTTATCATTATTATTAATTGAAAGTACATAATGAGCATGTATATCATTTTTAGAAGAATATCTGACGCTTTGCAAAAAATCTATAAAATTCCTGAAATCAAGCTTCTAATTTTACAGATCATGCGTAAAGTAAAATAAAATTCCCGAATTTTGCGTTACAAAAATTTTTCTAAAACAATCGACAATTAATTCTTATTGTATTCGTCGAATTATTCTTAGTTTCTTAGAAACAGGACTTTTATACTTTCAATTTCTTAATCTACATATTCCGTTATAATCACCGTTCATTCATACTCACAGGATGTTTTCAGCTTCTCCTTTGCCGACCATATTGCACCATTGGACCTGAACGTGATGCCGATACTTTTGGATTTTCCAGCAGAATTTTCCATGACACCCTGTGGCGATATTATCGAGATACCATTTTGCTCCATTGTGCAATTAAACGATTACTGAAAATAGAACATAGTAACGTTATAATTTTGGAGCCTAATGCAAAATATTGACGCCACAATTTTATCTTATCTACAATATGATAATAAACTGTAAAAATCACCCCTTGAGTCCATTGTACTCTTATTTGAAGAAATATTTGAAGAAACTGCGACCAGATGATAAAAATGACAGATGCAAATAATTTTGTGAATATATGTTTTCTCTGGTTATCTTTTTATCAACAAACTACATATATGCGCGTTATAATACATACATATATGCGCGTTTTAAAATTAATTAACTTCTATCTGATCTGATAAATTGTAGTGTAATTATAATAAACTATGTTAAATTCTAGAAAATTTAAAACCCAATTGAATTCTAGGAATTTTTTGTTAATTTTGCTAATATTCACGAAATCCATTCGTTACCTTCTGCTCTTGTTTCCTATAATTTGATAAGTTATAATAAAAGGGTAAATAAAAAGGTTGACTTTTCGTTGATTTTGTAGCATTAGCATATCTGCTATTCTGCTACCAGTATCACCTTACAAGTGGAGGCAATCGATAATAGCAAATATCGTTCGTTATCTGAACCTGATACGATTTGTCGGAATTAAATTGTGAGATTAAATAACCGAGATATGTCACCGTGCAAATATTAAAAAGATGGGAATAAATTAAAATTTGGGGGAAATTAATTAAAATCGCCAAGCTATCAGTCGAATTTCGACGCTTTGCCCATAAATAGTTAAATCGTCTCACGATTGCGAAACACAATCATCATATTCGTATCCGTGATTCAGCATGCATATAAATTATGATAACCGATCGATTATGGCTTATCGCGTCTTTACATGAAATATATTACTGTTATTACTAACAATAAGTATTTTAACTCATGCAACTTATACGCGCGAATATCTAATCTTAAGAAATTATTATGAATATTAAGCAACAAAAATGAAAAAAAATAAAAAAATATCTATTAATTAATCTTGTTTAATCCTTTTTTTCAATCTCATTTTATTTTAAATTTCGCACTCAATCTTTTGATGTTTTCAATTATATAATTTTCGATATCATAAAAAAAAATGCATTTCTGTGGTGTCTATAATTTACATACGTTTTTTATTATAAATGTTATAAATTCTAAAGGAATGTAGTATCTACTAAAAAAGAATTGATAGCTTTTAGCTAATTTAGCTTTTAATTAATTAAATTAAATTTGATGCGCTCTCAAAGATCTTTCGATAAATCGATTGAAGTCAGAACTTTTGATAACCATCAATTTACATATCGCGGTGTCATATATATATTATGCATTTCTCTAGTTATCTTTTTATCAAGCTGCTATTACATATATGCGCGTTTTAAAAATTTACTTCTGCCTGATCTGATAAATTCTGTAATTATAGCAAACTATGTTAAATTCTAGAAAATTTAAAACCCAGTTGAATTCTAGGAATTTTTGTTAAATCATATTTTAATTTATATTTTTTTGCGTGATCTACAGAGTGATTCATTCTAAACGAGAAAATATCTGGAAAATATGTAATTTAATCAAAAAACATTCCAAATAAAAAAAATTACATGATATAGAGAGGGATGTATAATGGTAATGCCTCTCTCTATATTATACAACTTTTATTTAAAATGTTTTTTGATAAAATTGCATTTTTTCGAAATATTTATCTGTCAAGATTAAAACAAATCATATATATTACATATTTTTTTTACGTAAATATATAGTAGACTCATCGCTATTTATAAAATTGAAATATCACAAGTCATTGGCACTAATGCCAACTCACGACGAAAGAAAAAGACGCAGTCGAATTAACATTTCAAAGTACGTCTTTGTTTTAATTTAATTTAATTTAATGCACTAGCATGATATGCACTAGCATGCTTATCGATCATACAAGAAAGTTTATAACGCTCTTACGAAAAATAGCCATCAGAGAATGAAAGAACCAAAGAAGAGATTATTGACTCTTTTAATTTTTCGTACTACTTACCCCAAAGAGTAAGTCGTAGCTGCAACGTTGACACACAGATCTTGCACAAAGTCCGTTGTATTTCCGTATATCAAAAATCTCACTCGTTAAAAATTCATAAAAATTCGCGAATATGATAGGCACAAAGATGAAAGAAAGAAAGATAAACCCGCGATTATCCCAAGAATTGTCTTTTGCCGCGTGGTTTCGAGAGGACTGAATCGTTTCGCGAGTTCCGCTCACCTCTATATGTAGAAACCCTCCACTGTGCGCCAACGGCCGGTTGGCCGTCACTCTCCCGTTACACGACAGTTCCGTGTATACATGGTCACGCGAATCATGCGTTTCTGCCAAATTATTAAGACGCCACACGAGCGCGCGGCTTCGTTTCCGCATCAAAAATATTTACGTCTTTATCGATCTTTACATATCATAATATCACGTGTAAATGATTCGCTGATTGACAACTTTGATACATCGCGGTTTTCTATCTCACTGAACATTACCAAAAAATAGCATGGACAAATAATTTCTTAAATTTTTCTTCTTAATAATGTCTTAAATGGAAACAAAAAGAAAAGATCTTTTGGCAAATTAAAATTGAAAAGCGCATATTACATAGAAAAAAAATGTTTCTGGCCACAGCTAATTTTGATTAACTGAAATTGTATTAGCTATTATAGTTATGAAATTTGCTAATACATACAAAGAATTTTCTGCTGTAGCTAATATAAGGACGAATAGCAAAGTATGCATGTCTGTTACAGATCAATTTATTAAACAACATGAAATTATAGTTGTCATAGTTATCGGATATATCCGTGTAAAAGAAAATTGTCTCTACCACAGCTAAATATTACTGAAACTATACTTGCTACCAAATTGTCTGCTACACAGAAAATGTTTGCTGCAATAATCAATAGATCGACGTAATAGCAAAATACTTGTCTGTTACAATGATAATGTTTAGGCCTTTAGTTAAATTATAATAGATCTCGCAGACACAACGTTAGATATCCATAATACTATTGAATTTAGCTGCCATACCTAATTTTTAGTTGTTCATTTTTTTCCGTGTAGATAAAAAAAACATTCATTAATATGAATTATAGGTACAATTATTTTTTTAGTAATTAATTATCACTCAGAAATGATTTATGATATATCAATTAAAAATTATATTATATACAGAAGAAATTATTAATTAAATTTTGATAAAAAGTATCTCTTACATGCATGTGCGCTTGAAAGCAATAATTCTCTATATATATTTTAATAGCATTGCCAAGAAATCATCTAGCTTTTCACAAAACTTTTCACATACACTGAATATAGAGTAAATTTTAATTTGAGAGACTAATACGTTATTGATTTGATTAAATTACTTCTGTCGACAACTTCTCATCGAATAAATTTTAATTTAATTATCGCGCATTATTTTGATTAAATTATTATCTTATGATCTCTTATTATCTAACGATTATATCGTGATATGATCTTTATATCTTTATAAATATGTAATTAATATTTCTTGTCACATTTTTAATTCTTTATGGTCCGCCAACGGCACAATGCCATCGCGAATTCCAACATTTTAGTCAACCAACAGCTTTCATCCCGTCGCGTAAAAACGTCTTATCAATAAAATAAATATATACAACTTATTACATTGTTATGGATTTAAAAATAAAAGTTATTATAAATGAAAACAAAAAATAATTTAATAAGTGCTCTTATATATAGCGGCATATATTTATGGTAAAAAAATGTACACCTATAGTGGGGTAGTAACTCCACTTAGAATATTAAAGTTGTAAGATACTATCAAGAAGGATATAATATAGATACTATTAATAGTTGTTCTATGGATGGAGGTGCTTCGAAGATATCAAGGTTACTTTTTCAAGGTCCACTTTTTAAAATGGAATTGTATGATTTCTTTTACACAAGAAAAACTATTAGTATAGCACATTGTACTTCTCTTTTGATGCAACTTCAATAAATATATTATTTCATATCTCTAAAAATAGTGGAGATAGATATTCCTAAGTAAGTGGACAGAGTTACTGCCCTACCCTGTATAATAGCCATGCTTGTTTTAGCCAAATAGTGATTACGATCAGTTTGAGCATCACTCACACTCGCTGTAAGTTTCTGTCTATTTTTATCACTTATTATTTGCGGAAAAAGAATAAAATGAAATGCACTAACTACACAGTTAATGTAAAATATATGGACCGCAAGTTGATACATAAAGTAGATTATTTTTCTCCAAAAAACTGAAAGAGATTCATAAATATCATAAATACATTATATTGATATGATATTTCATATATTTAACATTTTTATTCTAGAAATGATTTAAAAAATAAATTATAGTTCATTTTTGCGCCCAAAATTGTAAAATTATCCTAAAATTTCTATTTTCTTTATTTTCTCTATTAATACATTTTTATTACGTAAAATTGCGGACAATTAATGACATTAGAATTGTTGAAATAAAGTCTCAAACGATAACAAAAATACGTATTTTTATTAGCCTGCTCATTATAGCCTACTGTCGAATTATCAATTCGTCGTTTTATCAATTATGAGAAAGACAAATTAAATCAGATATAATCAATTTTGTCATTGATTATAAAATAATCGATTAATTGATAAATTATAATATATAGTATATCAAGTTATCTTGTCAGCATCGTTTATCGCGAGAACTAGCATTGAAAATTAGATAATAAAAATATTTATGATTTAATTCGACATTAATATAAACAATCAGAAAATTTATCAGATAATCAACTTATCGTGATTAGATTTAAAAAAAGCTCAATCTTTAAATTATTATATATATATATATATATATATCCAAATTTAATTATTATCTTAGGTAATTAAATAAATAAACATTAGATATAATAAAAACATTTCATGTTGTCTTCATTCGTTTTTCTAGTTTTTAATTTTTTGGTTATTATCTCTAATATTAATAGTAATTTTTAATATTTTAGTAAGTTAAACTATAATTATATTAATCATACAGACAAATATACATATGTCTGAATATATAAATATATGTACAAAGTTATCTGTTGAAATACTTAAATAAATCGTCACAATTATTCCAATTTTAAAGTTATAATCGAAATATTGATTTCTGCGAAGAATATATGGAGGGATTGTCTACAAATTAATTGCCTACAGTATTGTTTGCCTACATCATTTTTGCCGATGGCTTGTTTGCGTATAAAAATTATTGCCTACAGCTCGATTGCCTATATGCTCTTTGGCGCATAAATAAAAATTTTAGAAATGGAGTTACATTTGCCTACATATATTATTTTCTACATGTATTATTAGTTTACTTATAAATATTATTGCCTACAGTTCAATTGCCTACATGTATTATTCTCTGCTTTAAAAACACAAATTCTGTTTCAAAACAAATTCTTTAAAAATACAAGTTATTTTTTTATTTAACTTAACCTTATTTTTATATATTTGTGCAAAAGTAAGCAATCGAGCTGTAGACAATAATATATGTAGAAACACAAACGTGATTTTGTCTCTGAAAATTTTATTTGTGTACAAAAATGCATATAGGCAATCGAGCTATAGGCAATAGTATTTATAGACAATAATACATGTAGACAATAATTATACACACAATAATTATACATGTAGGAAAATGTAAAATTCCGTTTCTAAAATTTTTATTTGTGCGCAAAAGTGCACGTAGGCAATCAAGCTGTAATTTTGGCGCGAACGGCAAATTGTCGGCAAAAGTGATGTAGGGAAACGAAAGGGAAGGATAGGAACTCTAAAAGAAGCTATCTCGAATGTCCAAAAAATTATTAGCGTTCATTAGATACATGTGTAATGATGAATACAAATATTGCATTAAAGTTACTAAAGTAGTACTTAATTTCATCTTATCAAGAATCATAATTATTTTGTATAGGATAGATTATTTTTATAATTATTTTGCTATTTTTTGTAAATATCTAATTATATGCCATTGTCTCTTATATATTATCGCAATTTGTCTTTAATCGATCAATTATGATTATCATTTGGTTTGATTAGCTCTTTTATTGATGTCTTAAAAAGAATGAAAATTATATTATACAAACTAAATATTTTAGTGACAGCTTTATGATAGAGAAGATAGAAGTCGGTGAGATTTCTCATGGCTATACGATATTAAGTAATCGATCCAACGCTTACCAAGAGCTACATTATTACTTATTAACTAACCGCATTTTGCATAACATTGCCGTGCCGGGTCGATGACTTCGACGGTATCTATTTGAACATCGGAAGATACTTCTTCTTTTGCAAAATGAAAAAGTAAAAATTACATGTTTTACAGTTATTTACTATTAAATCTAATATTTTTATTCAATTGTAAATTACGAAATCAATTAATTTCACAATCTCACATCGTTTTAAGTATTTACTATTCTATATCTATTATTATTCTATCTTAGAAATAATATTTTCTTGATGTATTACATTATGTATATTCATAATGTATATTCGTAATGAATATACATTATTATTTGATAATATCTTCAGTGATGTTTTTCAGTGATATTAGTCGAACAAGTGAGAGATTTATTGGTTGTCGCAATAGTAATTACGCAGAAAGACTAAGACAGATTGGGATCTCAATGTTATAGTCTATTTATCACATTAAATCCAGAAGTAAACTAGTTCACTGTCACGTAGCTGTATTACAAAGAGAAAGAAATATCTTCCTACAACCGCAATAATCGAACTCTGAAACTATCAGGAATATGAAAAAAAGCATATAAAAACAGATACATAAGGAAAAATGTGCGAACTTAACTAATTTATAGCGTTTTATGAGATTGTCTGAAAATTTTTAATTAAAAATAATTTTAAAATAATCAGACGAGATGACAATAAGAATATAATAATGAAACTAAGTCAGCTTTATCGTGTTATTATTAATATTCAAAAGTGAATAAATAGGATTTAAAATAATAACTTCGAATTAGCGAAAAAGAATAAAGATGAGATAAGAAAATTAAAAGTAAATCTGGCAAGTTTTCGACTGGTAGCGATAGAATACAATCAATGGATCTGAAAGTGACTGTGAGAACATGTTGCAATCATATTCGTGATTATTACTTAGTTACTGTACTCTCTGCTCTCTCTGGTGAAGAGCAAAAATAACACTTTCAAAACTTTTCCCTTTCTACTATCTATAATAATCAAAGAAACGATGATATA